ACTCTCCTATGAGAATACTGCTAGATTTCCTGTGCTGCTTGGATTTCAAGAATGGGTGACTCGCCTCCCTTTATCTTTCCTTCTTCGGCCACTACGTTGACCTTCTGACTCCTCTTAACTTGCTTCTTCACCTTATTGTCCGTTCGTATCGCATCTACAACTTGTTCCTTCATTTCTTGGGCGTTGTTTGATGTTGACGTGGTCTTGAAGCAACATGATGACTGGTGAGGTCCTCCGCATCGGAAACAATTTTACGTTTGCATTCAAATGTCTTATGCTGCAGGTTGGCAAAGACGTGGGTCAAGTAAGTACTTCGCCCTTCCTCTCGGGGCTTATATGCATCGCAACGAGATGACTTGTGTACACCTCCGCCGAACGTGCAGAGGCTCTCCTGAACATTGGCCTTCTTTCGAAGTCTTTGGCGGACGTGTTCTGTGACGTGGACATTGGTTCAATCATGTAGAGATTCATCATTTCTTCCTCGGACAAGACGTCTTCGATTATGTTGAACAGCGTTTCCATTGTGGATGAAGTAGTCGATGGAAGTGTACGTCTCTTCGCTAGCACTCTCCTCTGGATATGTGCAGGAAATTTGCTCAACACTTTCTTGACCATGACTTGACTGTCTACGTGTTCCCCTTTTGCTTTAGTTGCAGGACTGTTACTTGCACCTGTTCGAAGAGTGTGCGTTGGTCCTTGAGGGATTCACTTCGTAATTTGTAATGGTCAAGTTTGTCGATGAGTTTCTGGATCAATTCCTCTGGATTGCCGTACCGTGCGTGAAGGAACTTGATTGCATGGGAGTAGTTTTCAGGGGTAACTTGGAACTTCTTCACGGACTCCTTAGCCTCCCCTTCGAGGGCGTTCAGTAAAATAACTTGAAAAGCTCAGATAATCCCCTCGAGTGAACGCTAACAATATTTAATCGATTGGAAAAACCAACAACTTGAAAAGTTAGATAGATGATACAATCGATATAGAACGATGCAAACGTGATACGAACGCATAACACGACAAATCCACGGAACTTTAAACTGGTTCCTTCCTAGCTCATGTGTTTCGTACCATATCCCCTTCTTGTTCTTGTCTCGGTTCTTCTTCGGGGTGCGCTCCTTTACGTTTCGGTGAACTATCGAATGAATCCGGGCCTTTGGAATCTGGCACTTGGACCTCCGACGTGTCCTGCTCCTCATTTGACGTGCGGCTTTCCGTCATTGCTTCAGCTAATACCATTCCACTTTCTGATTTGAATAACTTAGCAATAATTGTTATGACCATCAATAGGAACCTCAAACTTGGAAAATTAAACCCAAGTCTGAGGTTCCTATTGATGGTCATGTCAAATATTGCTAAGTTATCATTGAACAGATAGTTAATATTGAACAGCTCCCAAAAGTTATCAAAGTCTCAAATGTCACCCGTGAGTTTGGGAATAGGGAGCGGTGGAAGTTCGACTTGTTGGTGTTCTTGATTATGTGGCCGTTGCCAGGCTTCTGTTCTTATCGCCAGGTGCCCGCGTTGACCTTAAATGCTTTCGCTAGAATTCAACGCGCTATAATTAGCTTGTGTAAGAGCGCAACGTATTCCACAGCAGAAACGAGGATTCTTCCGCACGAACCCACATATTGGTCTATTTCACTTGGGTCCACCTTCTCCTCTTTCTCCGCTAAGAGAGACAAGTCACCCAGCGCCTTGTCCACTTGGCAATTTATCGATTCTATCGTTACTACCGCTCCTTCTAGGCGGCACAGATTGCCTAGGTTGACGTTTCTGGAGTGGTTTTCAATGATAACTTGCACTGAATCGAGCTGTTTGTTTTGTTTCTTTGCGAGCGCGCCAAGACGCCCCAGTTTGCAGAAGCGCGTTATAAGGCCCCTAGCTGTTGCTACGTCGCTAACCATTTTGACTTACAATATGACTCTCACTGTTTAGGACTTGTAGCCTATAAGCCTTTCTGACGAGTCGTCGAGGAAAATGTTCGCTCAACCGGATGTTCAATTAAGATTGGACTGGATCCTCACTGGATTCCAACTGGGTCGAACTTGATCCTCACTGGATTCCAATTTCAACTTGGACTTGACTTTTATAGTGACAAAGGAGTAAAAGATTCTAATTATGAGGATCTTAAATTGACCTGAGTTCGCTGTAAAATGGCTTTGATGTACCATGTACATCGACTGAGATCTTGCCACGCGGGACCGCTGCAGAAAGAAAACCAAGGCTAGCCGATGCTATGCAAGTTTATGGTTTCTTTATATACCCATAAAGCCACAATGGTTGTTTGGGTGAGGGGTCTGCTTTGAGTATCCGCCTCTGGTTGATTAAATGAAACAAGGCTGAATGTCACTGGGTGACAACTTGCTCTAAGGCATTTGCCTCTGGCAAAGAGAACGAAACAAGACTGGATATCTTTCAGCAAGATAATGACAGGACCCGGCCTAAGTTTCTTCCTTCAAGTGTTTCGGCATGGCGAGGAAATTGTCGAAACGTTGAACGCAAGTAGAACTCCCTCGTAATGAACCTTATAGAGAAGACTAGGCAGAAACTTTGATATGTGAAGACTTAAAATTTTCAATAGAATCGCCATTCACATTTCGTAGCGCGTATATGTATGTATTACGTATGATACTGCATTACTGGACAAAGAGATGT